CGTGCCAGGCACGGGCCGGCCCCGTGTCGTTGGGGGCCGCTTTGGTGGTGAACCCACCTCGTGCCCCGTGCTCCCGCTGCAGGGAGAACGTGCTGAAGAACCTGGGCGACAAGGCTTTCGACAAGCCCATCTGCGAGGCGCTCTTAAACCAGAAGTTTTTCAACGGGATCGGGAATTACCTCCGCGCTGAGATCCTGTACAGGTAAGGTGGGTCGAGCAGCCAGCTGACACGCCACGGGGGTTTGGCCGGCAAGAGTTTGCCAGGGCTTGACGGCTCCTCGGTGGATGCAGGCAGGTGGCAAAACCTGTGCATAACGGAACATGAGGAAGAACTTCTTCACTCTGAGGGTGATGGAGCCCTGGCCCAGGCTGCCCAGGGAGGTTGTGGAGTCTCCTTCTCTGGAGATATTCCAGACCCGCCTGGACGTGGTGCTGTGCAGCCTGCTCTGGGTGACCCTGCTTGGGCAGGGTGTTGGGCTGGGTGACCCACAGAGGGCCTTGCCATTCTGTGAAGATGTCCTGGATGACCCACAGAGGGCCCTGCCAACCCCGAACATTCTGTGATTCTGTGACTCTCTCAGGTCGAAGACCCGTCCCTTCGAAAAGGCCCGGACCGTGCTGGAGGCCCTGAAGGACCAGGAGCAGGCGAGGAGGAAGAATGTGAGGAACGCCTGGTGCTCTTGCTGGCTCCGAGAGGGGCAGGTTCCCAGACAGATGCTGTGCCGGGGATTTGTTTGCCTGTGGCCCTGTGGGACGTCTCGGCAGCACCCTGGGGTCCCGGGAGCCTCTTGCCTTCCGTGGAGGGAGCGGGACTGAGCTGAGCCGCGTTCCCCATTGGGGTCTGGGCTTGGCAGCGGGGGAGGTGGTTCGGTTTGCTTCCAGCCCCCCGGCTGCACTCAGCCAGCTGCCTTGCTCTGGCTCAGCTTCGGGCTCAGCCGGGCATGCAGCTCCGGTTCAGGTCTGCTGATCTGGGCTTGTTCCAGCCCGGGGTTCGGGGCCAGTTTCAGTTCGTGTTTGGTTCCTCGCGCTGATGGGGCAGAATGTTGCCACCAGGCCCTGGCAGAGCTCGCACAGCCTCTGCACGCGCCGCTGTCGGGAGGGATTTGCTGCTCCCAGTCCAACAGCAGGCATTTTCCCTCACAGCTATAACGCTTGCCACACGGGATCTTTCTCCTCCAGCACATTATATACTGTCCTTTGCCACAGACACCCGTGCCTGAACACGTCTTTCCCCTCCAGCGGAGCAGCAAACAGGGCGCAGCAGTGCTGTAGTCTCACGCGTGCAGTGTTTGTTCGCCTGTGGCCAGGCTGCCGAACCGTGACTGCTCCCCTGGCACACGCCTGCGTGCTGCCCTGGCAGCCATCGCGGTACATTTGGGGTGGATGGAGAGGAAGGGGCGAGGGGAACAAACACCGTGCGAGCATAAAATCTCCGGGGAAGCCCACAGTAGAGCTCACAGCTGATCTTGTGGCCTTGGGGGAGAGGAAGTGGCTGTTTTAGCGGAGGCTGATAACAACATAAGCGACTTGAGGGCTGTTTTTTACAAACTGCTGGCGTTCCTGTGCACTAGCCCTCTTTCGTGTCTTCACAGCTACAGGGAACGTGCGGTTTGCAGCCTGGATGGGGGCTGAGGGGTGAGCTTGGCACTGGTGCGTGCCGTGGGGAGCGTGGCAGCCTGTCCTCAAGAGGGCAGGAGGAGATGGGGAACGCGGCTGCTGCTGGGGAGAGCCCGACAAGGCTGGGGGGCTGTCTGGTGACTTCCCTCCCCTTCTCCGCCCCTGCAGAATCCTTCCATGACGCTGAGCAAGAAGCTGAAGGTGATGCAGGAGCACCCGGACCTCCTGGAGCTGTGCCACACCGTGCCCATGGAGGGGCAGCAGGGGGACGGGGACAGTGGGGGGTGGCGGCGAGCCCTGGGCTCTGTGTTCCCAGCAGCAGGAGGCTCAGGAGGGCACCCCGCCACCACGGTCTCTGCTTCTTCTCTACTCCTGTCCTTGGCCTCTCTCCCTTCCCAGGGAAGGAGCTCCTGGACCCAGAACAGCCGGATAACTACGCCGCTTTCAAGAACTGGCTGCAGTGTTACCTGGTGCCTGGCATGAGCTCCCTGCGCGACCGCAGCGGCAGGACCATATGGTTCCAGGTAGGAGCCTGGGCTCGCTGCCTGGGGCTGGCTGCCCCCCCCGACCACTCCTCCAAGGGGACACCAGCCTGTTTTCTGCTTCCCGAGACCCCCTCAGCATTACGCTGTGTCGTGGGAGGTCTCCCTTGCCGCCAGACTACTGTGACTGGTGGATGTGGAGGTGACAAGGACCCTCTGTGCAGTGGCCCAGGGGTGGCAGGCAGTCTGGAGCTGAGGGGCTGATTGCTCACGAGGCCTGGCAGCCCTGTTCCTCCCTCCTGCATCTGGGCAAGGTGCCGGGGAGGGGCCTTGCAGAAGGAGCAGGGGCTGAGAGGAGGGTCCCTGAGGCACAGGGCAGGCAGAGCAAGTCCGGCTCCCCCCAGGCTTCCCAGGGAAACGTGGCTGTTTCCCTGTCACTGCCTCGGCTGCTGGGTGGAGAAGGGGCACGCATTCTGCTGCTGCCACCTGCAGAACGACCGGGCCCCCGTCAATGCTCTGTCGCCTTCCTTGCAGGGAGATCCTGGCCCCATGGCTCCCAAAGGTAAGTGTCCGCTCGTCTCCCTGCGGGACCCGCTCTTGCTCTGGGAGGGCTGGAGCCTGGCCAGCCCTGCACTGGCGAAGGTGGGAGCAGAGCCCCTCTCCCTGGGGCACTGACGGGCCTGTGATGGCTGGTGGCACTAGGGGACAGAGCCCATTGTCCCCAAGGCTCCCTCCCGGCACAGCCGCCTGCCTGTGCACAGCCTTTGTGCCCACAGGGTGCTTTTCCAGGCCAGCACCTATGTCCCCTTCCTCGCCTGCCAGGCTGGGAGCCGGAGAGTGTGCTCTCCACCTGATCCAAGTGGTGTTTCGGCAGGGGAGGGAGTCTGGTGAAGGTCACGGTGCCGCAGCCCGTCCCCCAAGGCGCAGGCACTCTGCCCCGTCTCCTCCTTGCCTCACCTAACCCAGGCACGTCTTCTCGTGCAGGGCAGACACCTCGCAAGAAGCGTGCGCAGCTGAAGGTGGACGCTGAGCCTCGGAGCCACAAGGTAAGACGCTTTGTGGTTGGTGTGGCTCCTGCTGGGGGTAGAGGCCGTCCCGTCCCCTGCTCAGGCCGCTCCCCAATTTCACAGCGGGGCTCCTGCGTGGAGTTTCTCATCAGCCAGCAGGCCAAGCACACTGCTGCTGCCAAGCTCTGGCCCCGATGTCCACCCAGGTCACCACGCATGCCTCGAAAAGGCGCCCCAGGGCTGCGGCGAGCCCCCTGAAGTCGGACGCCGAGGAGGAGGTGGCTGACAGGCCGAGGAGGGGATGTTCCCGCGGGAGGAGGAAAGCCACTGCTGCTCCGGCCTTGTCCGAGCCCAAGGCGCCGGTGAAAGCCAAGAGAAGCCGCCGGACGGCTGCGCGCAGGGGCAGAGGTGAGGCTGGCAGTCCCCGCGGCTTTGGAACGCCATGGGCGCGCTCCCTCGTGTCGGGGGGACGGAGCGGGTACCACGGGGCAGGAGCCCAGGGGGGCTTCGCGGGGGAGGAAAAACCGAGCCCAAGGCGCCGGTGAAAGCCAAGAGAAGCCGCCGGACGGCTGCGCGCAGGGGCAGAGGTGAGGCTGGCAGTCCCCGCGGCTTTGGAACGCCATGGGCGCGCTCCCTCGTGTCGGGGGGACGGAGCGGGTACCACGGGGCAGGAGCCCAGTGGGGCTTCGCGGGGCAGAACCGGGCACCCTGTCCCCTCTGACTTCTTGTTTCCCTGGCCCAGGCGCAGTCCCCGCCGTGTGAGTGCCACACGCCGCCCTTCTCCCAGGGGCGTTTTAACGGCTGCAGGAGTCTGGGGGCCTGGGGTCGTGCTGGGGAGAGATGGGGCTGCTCTGTAGCTGTGCTCATGCCCGCTTGCTACCACTGTGTCCTGCCAGTGCGGGAAGAAGTTTGGGTCGGTGATGGGGCTGATTTATCCAGCATCCTCCTGCTGTCCCCAGGCATTTGAGGGGGTAAGAGCCACTGCACAGCGTGCTGGACTGTGACCCTTCCCTCTGCCCAAAAGCAGATTCCCTCTTCCTGGCTGCTGCCTGGATCCCTGTTTTTAGCTGACTTATAAAATACTTTGTGTAGAAATTGCCGTGCGTGCCTTTTGTGTGCTAAGGATAAACCCCTCCACTGCGCAGCCTCTTCCCTAAGTGGGCTGGAGCAGGCTTCCCCCCCCCCCCGAAAAAAAAACCCCAAAGGTAAGCTCTGCCTCCCCCCTCCCAGGCATGAGATCCTGGTGAGGAGGACACCAAGAGAGCAGCAGCTACAGCTGGGAAGAGGCAGATCAGCGCAGCTACCTGGAAATAAGCTGAGCAAACAGGCTGGAGTTTGTTTTCATGTAATTCTCCTATTTTCTTCTGTTCCCCTTTCATAAGGCCAGTGCAAGAGGCAGGCACGGGGCGAGGGGAAGGACTGCAGTGTGTCTTTAAACTTGCTGCCCTGTTACAGCTTGGTGCTGCTTGGGTCTGGACAAGCCAAAGGCTGAGACACAAAGCTGCTGCTCCCCAAGGCCGGCCAGGGCTGGAGCAGAGCCTGTGCGGGGCAAGCCAGCCTGTCCCCCAGCCCCAGCACGCTTTGGCTAGCTGGGCACTCGCTGGGGCCCTCCTGCCCTGGTTAGGCAGGGGTAGCTGTCCTCCCTTCCTGAAGGTGGTTCTCCACCGCTGTTCTCTGGTGGCTGGGTGGGTGGCGAGGGGGAGACGCTGCCCTTGGCTGGAACCACCGCCTGCTTGCACAGCTCTTGGGACGGGGGAAGCCCTGGGCTGCGATTTGGGCTCACGGTGTTGGTCCAGGTTGCTGCGGCGTCAGAAAGGGCGATGGACGGCGTCACTGCCTCAAGACCAAGAGGACGGAGAGCAGGCGGAAGGGTGTGAAGGAAAGCCTCACGCCCCGCTGCTCCAGCAGCAGGCGGCCTCGTGCAGCCGGACGCTCCAGGAGGTCGCAGCTGGGGAAGAAAGTGGCGCGTGAGGCTGAAGTGCCCGACGGCCATCGCCACAGGCACCCAGCCCTCCTGCAGGGACTTACAGCATCGCCTCCTTCACGGCGAGGGAGGTCTGGAGCCAGGCGTCCACCGTGCTGCCGTGCGCCTCGTACAGCCGAACCACCACAGCTTCAGGTCTGTCCTCAGCCTTTGGGGGGACAGTGCAAACGTTTGTTCGGAGAAACGAGATGGGCGCATCCGATCCAACACCTCAGGGTACAGCCCAACCGCAGTGACCGCGGCTGAGCGGCTCTGCCAGTGTGTGCATGCCTTTTGTTTTGTTTGATTGCCAAGAAGGCCAACAGCATCCTGGCTTGGATCAGGAATGGTGTGGCCAGCAGGAACAAGGCAGTGATTGTGCCCTGTACTCGGCACTGGTGAGGCCGCACCTTGAGTGCTGTGCTCAGCTTTGGGCCCCTCACTACAAGAAGGACATTGAGGGGCTGGAGCGTGCCTGGAGAAGGGCAATGAGGCTGGTGAAGGGTCTGGAGAACAAGTC